AAACCCTAAACCTCCAAAAAAAAGCCTCACAGTCTGCCCTTAAGGTATAGGGTTTAGGGTTTAGGGTTAAGGGTTAAAAAAACCTTACAGCCTGCCCTTAAGGTTTAGGGTTTAGGGCTCAGGGTTTAGAGTTTAGGGTTTAGGGTTAGAAAAACCTTACAGTCTGCCCAGGTAAAGTTTACGGGATCCTAGCAATAATCCTCCTAAATCCATGTTCCAACTTTCTCGGATTCGCCGAAACGCTCGGAACATCTAAGCTACCCCTGAACCCTAAACCCTGAACCCTAAACCCTAAACCCTAATCCCTAATCTCTAACCCCTGGACCCGAAACTTTAAACCCTAATCCCTAATCCCTAAACCCTAACACCTCAACCCTAAACCCGAATCCCTAAACCCTAATCTTAATCTTTACCCTAATCTTAACCCTAATGCCTAAGCCCTAAACCCTAATCCCTAGACCCTATGTAATACCTAGCTCCTACAAATCTAAATCCCTAACCCCTACACTAAATCGCGAAACCCTATAAATCAAATCCTAATCCGTAATCCCTATAGATCCTAATCCGTAATCCCTATAAATCCTAATCCGTAATCCCTATAAATCCTAATCCGTAATCCCTGAACCTTAATCCTAAACCCTAAACCCTAAACCCTAAACCCTAAACCCTAAACCCTAAACCCTAAACCCTAAACCCTTAATCCCAAGTCCCTGAACCCTGAACCTGGAGCTCCAGACCCCAAGACTGCTAGCTTGCTCACCTGAAACACGACGGCACCCAAAAGCTCTGAAACCCTAGAAGCGTGTAAAATACCCCTAGGGTTTAGGGTGCAGGGGTTTGGGGGTTTAGGGGTTTACGGTTTAGGGTTTAGGGTGTAGGGTTGAGGGTTTAGGGTTTAGCGGTTTAGGGTTTGGGGTTTAGGGTTCAGGGGTTTAGGGGTTTAGGGTCCTGAGTGACCCCCTAATTCATGAGGGTACCCTTTTCCTTGTTGCTCAGTTTTCACAAGGCAGCCATGCAATAGAAAAGGGCAAAAAGGGTACTACTCAGGAACCCCGAAACCCTAAACCCTACTACACCCTAAACTCTAAACCCTAAACCCTAAACCCTAAACCTAGACCCTGCAATCCTAGATCCCCAGACTTGAAAAGGATGACGCAGAGGGCTCCCATCAGGGCGCCAGTCATGAGAGCTTTGGATTTATGGTTTAGGGCTGAGGGCTTAGGATTTAGGGTGCAGGGGTTTGGGTTCAGGGCTTATGTTTGTTTAAGGTGTTTAAGGGTTTCGGGGTTTAGGGTTTAGGGCTTTAGGGTCAGGGTTTAGCATTTAGAGCTTTAGGGCTGTCGCGTTCGGGCTCTGGGGTTTGACGATTTAGGGCCCAGTGCTTCGGCTTGAGAGTTTGGCGACAAGGACCAATACACATCAGGGTTTAGGGTTTAGGGTTTAGGAACACATAATAAGTAAGAAATGTAAGAAGCCCAAACAGAAAGCTTGGCAATGTCCTCCTCTGCATGGCTTGTCCGAGCCCTCAGGCTCGGTCCCGATACAGAGCACCGACACGGCATTCGAGATTGCTTCTGTGTCACAGATGTGGCCAGGGTGCCCACTTGGAGGCCCTTTTGACTTAGTAAGTCTACTTAGTATCCCCCAGGAGCCCTATTATAATCCCCATAACCCACCTTACTAACCCTACTTACTAAGTCAAAAGGGCCTCCAAGCACTTACCACTGTGTAGCTGACAAAACACACGCTATCTTGAACCACACAATACTGGGTGTGGCCTCCGGCCAATATCAACGTCTTCAGAGAAATCAGAGGGCATCTCCGACCAAGAAGACCTTGAGTGAACATGCGACACACAGCCGCTGCATCCACCTCGGAGTTGAACAGCCTGGTTAAATAGCTCTGGGTCGTTAGGGCTCTTGATATGGATCCTAATATTTGGGGGTTATAGGACCAGGGTCTCTTAATCAGTTTCCTACAGAAAGTTTTGGGACTTGCTTTCCCAAGCCCGATACTGAACCCTAAACCCTTGAAATCATATCCTAAATCCCAGCTACAATCTCCTAGGCCCAAAACTAAACCCGAAGCCTAAACCCTACACCCTAAGCCCTCAATCCGAAACCCTAAACCCTAAACCCCTCGAACCCTAAACCCTGCAAGCGGGTTCGCTAACAGGGACGATTTTACAGTGTTTTCCACTTCCTTGTGGGTCAGGGTCGAAACCACCCCTGTTCGTGAACCCGCTGGGTAAACCCTAAACCCCCTTGAGCCCAAGACCCTTCCCACCCGAGCTTTTCCTCTGGGCCCCCGGACGACGCCGGACTCGGGGCTCACCCAAAAGGCCGAAGGAGGCAGCGGCGAGGTCTGAAACGGCTTTTAGTTCGGACTAGGTCTCAGGCGCCAGGGATGAGCGTTTTGGGGCTTTAGGGTTTTAGGGTTTTAGGGTTTAGGGTTTAGGGAAGTAGGGTTTAGGGATTAGGGTTTAGGGTTTAGGGTTTTTGGGATTTATGCTTGGGGTCAGGAGCATACGGGTAGTTCCCTAAATTAGGGTCCCTTTTTCCGTACAATATTGGGGACCTAGAAAGGGACCCCAATTAGAGAACTACGCAGATTGTTTAACTTCTTGTCGTGATTCCAACCGTATCTCCTTTGTGGTGTCAACTTTGCATATATTAAAGCTTAGGGTTACGAGTGCGTGGGGAGGTTTGATTGGCTTGCAGGCGTCCCAGTGCTCTTGCGAGTAGCTTCGAGAAGTTGTGTACAGATGCTGCTGGAATTCTCAGCTTTGTGGGCTTGGCCTTGAGAGTCCAAACAAGCCTGATGAAACAACTATGAAGCCAAAAACCCTTCAAACCCTAAAGACGTAACACAGCGACACTAAGAGGCCTAAACCCTAAACCCTAAACCCCAAAAAAAAGGGACATTGCCGCGAAGCCTCTGACGGGTCGAGCATCGCCCGGACTCTGAACACCGCGCGCACCTCGCCGGCGGCACGGCTTAGCGTTTGGAGTTTGGGGCTTAGGGCTTAGGGTTTAGGGTTTAGGGTTTAGGTTTAGGGCTTAGGGCTTAGGGTTCAGGTTTAGGGCAGTTTAGGGTTCAAGCGGCAATCCAGGGGCCTTACTAATTAGAGTCAGGTTTTGGGGTACATTAGGGCCCTGGGAAGGAATCCTGCGGAATAGCTGGGGCTCGTGGACTTACCGGCTGCAGGTTCTTAGGTCTCAGATTTCAGGGAGTCTCGCCCGGTTCAGGCCGTACCTGTAGGCGCCATTGTAGTCCCTTCTTGGGGGCTACCTGACAGGATCCCAAGCATAAGAACCAAACAAGGAAGTACAGTGAAGACTGTAGGTAGGTTCTGTCTCGCGGGCCTGGGGTAAGGGTTCCTCTACATCCTCCGATAGGGGCGAAACTGGCCAAAGCCCCAAAACCCCAAACCCCTCAACGCTAAACCTTAAACTCGTTTTAAGGGATTAGAAATTGTGGTGGGCAGTTCAGGGCCGAGATATTCCTTATACAACCCTTGCCAGATCTTCTACAGGGGTTTAGGGATTGCGGCTTTAGGGGTTTAGGGTTTTAGGGTTTGGGGGTTTAGGGTTTAGGGTTTAGGGTTAAGTTTAGGGTTTAGGGTTTAGGGTTTAGGGATTAGGCTAGGGACCCTGTAGCCAAAACCTGCCCACTCCCCGGCCGGTGTCGTGTTCATCAGCTCCAGCGTTTGCGGGACCCGTTTGCCCGGCGACACCGCCCCAAACCTTGGAGGGCGCTGGAGTGAAATCCTAAACTCCAAACCGACCCAGAGAACCCCATACCCCTTAACTAAGGAATATACCTTAAATCATAGAATATGAAGGCCCCTATGTAAGGTATATTCCTTAATTAAAGTGTATTGGGTTCTCTGGGGAATCCCTAAACCGATAAACCCCCCTAAACCCTAAACCCGCAGGCATAGGGATCCTGGTTTAGGGCTCTGGGCTTCAAGAGGCCTTTATGGGGCTTTACAAGGGTTCTCTGGCATTTCTTTTTGCTGGCTCTAGGACATCCCTAAACCCTAAACCCTAAACCCTAAACCCTTAACCCTTAACTCTAAACCTTAAGCCCTAAACCCTAAACCCTAAACCTAGGGTGCAGACATGTATAAACCCTAATTGGGTTTTCGGAAGCCTACTTAGAGCCCACATCAAGTAAGGTTGTGTTACAGCTTTGGTGCGCGTATATGGGGCTCCTTAGGAAATCGCTTATGTATCGGGTGTCCCCTTTGGTGATCCCTAAACCCTAAACCCAGACGCACTTCAGGCGAGTTGAGGGTTCTGGCTGCGAGCGCTTCAGGGCAAAATCGGACGTGGTGTAGTATAGCGGCTTCAGGGTTCGCATTGAGGTTTAGGGCTTAGGGTTTAGGGTTTAGGGTTTAGGGTTTAGGGTTTAGGGTTTAGGGTTTAGGGTTTAGAATGTCGGTGATAGCTTCCAGGAGTTTCCTTAATCGAGGAGCCTGGGGCGTCTCTGAGTTGACTGCTTGACACCTCGGGGCCTCGCGAGGAAGAGCCACGAAATGATTTTGCTGGGTGGCTTCTTATCGCCAGGGCACCTGCAACCCTGGGGTCTTGGCGTGTTGAAAGCCTTGGGCCTCATGTCTGGATCTAGTCGATCTACTCATCTAGTTGCGGGGTTTAAGAGTTGAGGGTTTAAGGGTTTAGGGTTTTGGGGTTAGGGGAATTTAATCACTGAAGCAGATTCTAAGCTGCCTGATCTTTTTTTGTGCAAGCACTGCCGCTGCAGGGCGGATGCCGGGAAGGTGAGACGTCTTGAGCTCATGTAGGAAGCGGGCTGCAGCGCCGGGCCGGGGAGAAAAGACGAACCCCAAACCGCACACATCTCACGCCCTTAAGACTGCACCTAATCAGTTTAGGGGTCTGGGGTGTAGTTAGGGTTCAAGCCCCGTCTAGGTCCTGAATCCTTTACCCAAGCAGTAAAACTTGTGTCCGCGGATTGGGTGACCGGATGCCCTGAATCAAAAGCTCCTGCAGATAGAGTTCACATCCCTGCACCAGAAGAGATGAAAAGTTCGAAAAAGAATCAATGACAGGAAGAGCAATCGCAAATTAAGCTAAGTATGCACAAATGTTCGATCGCCGATACGGATTGCCACCTCTTAACGTCCAGGCATGTATTTTACATTCCGGCATAAGTAGTGCGAAGCAGTCGTAAGAGTAATAGAGGTGGTGTTGGGTGGTGGGTGGCACTCGTGGGATGTGACGCAGCAAGTGCAGCTGCAGTAGTAGCAGCAGGAGTAGTGATATTCGTGGAAGTCGCAGCAGTAGCCTATAGTAGTAGACACGCAGCACGCAGATGTGGGTAGTGGGTAGTAAACCCTAAACCCTAAACCCTAGACCCTAAACCCTAATCCCTAATCCCGTAGAGGTTGGCAGTTGCAGGCAGTGGAAGGTTGTTGCTACCAAAACTGGGGAGCTGCAATTAGTAAGACTTCTTTGTGGGTAATGTAGGGGCCTTGATAACTAGAATAGGGTTTTGGGGGTTCCTTTTAAGGGTTCCTTACAGGGTTCTATAAGGGTTTAGGGTTTAGAGGCCTAAGCAATTAGAATAGGGTTTTGGGGGTTCCTTATTATAGATATAGTATAATGGGCCCCAAAACCCTATTCTAATTACTAAGGCCCCTATATTAGTCATGGGTGGTGATTTTGGAGGTAGTCGAGGTGGGGCGCACGGGGGGAGTAGGGATGGCAGTCGTTCTTGGTGAATGGTGGTTTCCAACCTTCAAAGATCATGTTAGATGCAAGATTCCTGCTGAGAGCGGCCAAAGTCGTGGCACGAAATTCCCGGGACCAACAGCAACATAATCTGGGGGTTTAGGGCCTAGGGATTCTACGACATGCCCCTAAACCCTAAACCCTAAACCCTAAACCCTAAACCCCTAAAAAAATCGTATGTCAATGTCAATCTCCCGAAGCCCATGGCTGCCTCACTAATCCACCTTCCGGGCTACGGGAGGGGCCAGCTTCGCCAGCGAGGAGACCTTGAGAGGCTTTGGGGTTTAGGGTTTAGGGCTCAGGGTTTCCCAGCACCCCCCAAGTACCCTTTAATAGTACCCTTTAATAGAGCCCTTATGGTCCTTGATAGTGGGTATTTAGGGTATAGTAGAGGGTAGTTGGGGGGTGCTGGTCGGGTTTAGGGTTTTAGGTGTTCAGACCTTTAGGCCTCTAGGTGTTCAGGTTTTAGGTTTTAGGTGTTTAGATCGTTAGGTCTTTAGGGCTTTAGGTGCTTCGGCGTTCAGGTGGTCTTTATTTGTTTATTGTGTATTTAGTTTTTTCAAATGCTGAGGTGCTTAGGTGTTTTAAAGCCTTTAGGTGCTTAGGTCAGGTCTTCAGGTGGTTAGGCTTTTCGGGTCCCTCAAAGGTTTTAACCTACGCAGAGTGAACTCAAGCACAAAGTCTGAGTGCATCCTATCAAGGAGGATCTTCTCACCTGGGGGAAAAACTCAACCGCAAAATTGTGGAGGGGCGGAGGTCAGACACCCACAATGCCTCCTGCCCCCATTTACACAAACAGTTTATCTATTATGAACTCTTCAAAAAAAGCCTCAAGGCAACAGCCCTAAACCCCAAAGCCTAAACCCTAAAACCCTAAACCTAAAACCCTAAACCCTAAACCCCAACCCTAAACCCTAAACCCCAAACCCAAAGCCCCAAACAGCTGCGAGGATGCAGGGCTTCCTGAATTCTGAGTGCCCGGCAGTGCCAATCACAACACCCGCAAACATCAGAATGGAGACGTAGGAACGGCCCCAAGATCGAACCTTCTAGGGAGTTAGCATTAGGGGACCCTTGGGGATGTAGACCCTCTCAAAGGTCCCTGTTTAAGAGGAGATAGAAGCAGGGTTAAGAAGGGTCCCCTTTAAGGGATCTCCCTAATACGACCTAGGACTTCTGGCTCAGGGCTCAGCGGGCTTCGGGTTCAGGGGTTTGGGGTTTTGGGGTTGAGGGGTTGGGGTTTGGGGTTGAGGATTTCGGATTCAGGGTCTTAGCTGTGAAGGCTTAGGCCTTCGGAACGGAAAGATGAGCTTTGGGACTCGGTGTACAAGCTGCTAATGCAGGCTTTATTGATGTCGTTGCGGTGTCGCAGTCGTCGCTGTTGACGAGGTGGTTGTTGCGGTGTTTGGCTGTCGTTGCTGACAGTGCTGTCATCGTCGCCGCCTGTCGCTGCGTCGCCGTCGTCTTTGTTGCTGTTGCTTTTGATGCGATACTACGACAACGACGACGACAGCGACTGAAAATGACACTGCGACGATCAGTGCCCCACCACCGCCACCGCCACCACCACTGCGCCGCCACCACCACCACCACGACCACCGTCACCGCCAACCGAACCCCCACCACCACCACACCACGTCCTTCCCTACCGCAATACTACTACGAGTGGTGATGATAGTAACCCGAAACATGTGATACTGCTTCTAGTCGCCATACTCGCTGTTCCTCTCCCTGCACTCGCATCCCTTTGAACCTCGCCAAAGTCAAGCCAATGATGACTTGAGATGAAACATCGGCGTGCCTGGTGTTTGTTGGCATCCACGAGCTGCTCCGTGTCAGTCCACATGGCATACTTGAACCTGGGAACTGCGCGTCATTGACCGGTTTGAGCTTTGGATTTCGGGTGCTAGGGCTTTGGGGTTTGGGGTGGTATGGTTTAGGGCTGTCAAAGCTTCGAGAAGGCTCTTAACCTAGCTTACATCTTACACCCTATATGTGGGCTCCTCACCTGCCAGGCGTTCCAAAGACAAGCATTCCGTGTAACCATGCCCTGCAGCCGATCAAGTCCTTTATATAGACCCTAAACCCTAAACCCTAAACCCCAGTGCATCAAGGAGCTGGCGTTTTGAGATGGAAACCTCCCAACATGAAGGAAGCCCAATTGTCTTACGAGCCCTCCTGGCATATGGTGCAGAGCCCCTCAATACTACTTGTCTGGGACTTAGGGTTTAGGGTTTAGGGTTTAGGGTTTAAGGGTTTAGGGTTTAAGGTTTAGGGTGTAGGGTAGGGTTTAGGTCTAGGAGATACTATGCCAGGATATCTATCGCGAACCTCGCGGAAGGATTCAGGTCCCGATACTACGGTTGATGATACAAATCCTGCATTACTAAGGGCCCTAAGCTATGGGAATTGTGTGATATTCCTTTCTATGGGTACTGCAGGATTTATATCATCAACCGTAGTGGTTTAGGGTTTGGGGTTTAGGGTATAGTCAACAGAGGCTTGCGGATTCCAGGCCGCGCGGGACTAGGGCTTCGGGCTGACGGATTCTGCTTGAACCCCAAAATCCCTAAACCCGAAACTCTAAACCCGAAATAGGAGCCCCAAGCCCGAAACCCTAACCCAAGAACCCTGCATAAATGCAGGCCCTAAGCCCTAAGCCCGAAACCCAAAAACCTCCATTGAGCGTCTTGGGGAGTGTCTTATAGAGCTTCTTTTCAGGCTTCCAACTGGACCATGGCTGAAAAAGGAGAGAGCGCGTGCTTTAGGATTAACGGTTTCGAGTTTACGATTTTTAAGGTTCAGGGCTTAGGGTTTAAAGGGTTTAGGGTTTTGGGCTTAGGGTTTTAGGTTTGGGGGTTTGTCGTTTAGGGTTGCATGTTGAGGGGTGTTTGTTGTAAGGGATAGTGACTTTCGGGATGTTCAAACCGAAACCCAGGCCCTCGAAACCCCAAACTCCAAGCGGGAAATACCTGGGTAGTTCCCTAAATTACGGTCCCTTTTTCGGTCCCCAATATAGTACGCCACCCCTGTAAAAGGACCCTAAAAGGGACCCTAATTTAGAGAACTACCCACCTAGACACCGAACCTCGAAAAGACAATCTTGCGCGCAGACATCCTGTGTTGAGACCCCTGAGGCCACCCTAAACCCCAAATCCTAAGCCCTACTAGGACCCCCCAACTGCCGCTTATTGGAGCCCTTATGGTCCTTAGTAGGGGTATTTAGGGAAAATTACAGGGTAGTTTGGGGGTCTAGGTAAACCACAAACCAAAAAAAGCCTAAATCCTAAACGCTAACCCTAAACCCTAAACCCTAAACCCTAAACCCTAAACCCTAAACCCTAAGCCCAAACCCAAAAAAAGGGCAATGCTTCAGGCAGGTGTCTGCTCCAAGCTCGTGGTGGACTTGTCCGGGGCCTAGAGAGGCATGGGCTGACTGGCTTTAAGAACCCTAAATGGAAATAATGATTAAGGTTTAGTGGTTTAGGGTTTAGAGTTTAGGGTTTAGGGTTTAAGGTTTAGGGTTTAGGGTTTAGGGTTTAGGCGTTTAGGGGTTTAGGGGTTTAGGGTTTAGGGCCACTGGCTCCGATCAACTTCAATGCACTCTGATGGCAGTCAGCCCTGGCGGTTGCTGCACGTGTCAGGGTCGGTTGGGGGTCTTAATGGGTGCAGTGCAGAACCCTCAAACACTAAACCCCAAAAGCCTAGAATCCTAAACCCCAAAGCCTAACCCTAAACCCCAAAGCCTAAACCCTAAACCCCAAACCCAAAACCCCAAACCGTATAAATCCTAAACCCTAAATCCAAACCTCAGAAAGCCTAAACCCCAAACCCCAAACCCCAAACCCTATAAACCCTAAACCCCAAACCCAAACCCTATAAACCCTGTAAACCCTATAAACCCTATAAACCCTAAACCCCAAAGCCTAAATCCCTAACCCTAAACCCAAAACCCCAAACCCTATAGACCCTATAAACCCTAAATCCCAAAGCCTAAATCCCAAGCCGCGAACCCGAGATCCGATCCTGCAACATTTTATGATGATCCTACTTGCATGCTCATGGGACTTAGTAAGGGTTTGGGGTTTAGGGTTTAGGGTTTAGGGTTTGGGGTGTAGGGTTTAGGGTTTAAGTTATAAGTACTGTAATTGGGTTATAACCAACCACAAACATAGTCACCATAATGATAACCCTGGTTACCAAGTCCCATGGTCCTTTAAGTACGGTCTACGGATTAGCTACGAAGCAAAAATCGAGAAACATGCTTGCATACTATAGCCATACTTATGAGGAACCCCAAGAACAGTGTAAGCAATTTCTAACATAGCTGTAGCAAGCAACCGAAGGTGTGATATTGGTAATGATTTAGCCCCTACATTATTGATCACTGACGCGTGCCTCATCAATGCGCGACCTGAGGAAGAGGCTTGAATCTGGAGTAGTATTTGGGCCTCAATACGGAGAATAGGGTTCCTTTAAGGGCTGTTTTAAAGGCTACCACAAGGGCCTAGCAGAGGGGCCCTAACGAGTAGAACTGGATTTTGTGGTATGTTATGCTACAACTATAGTGAGGAACCCTACAGAATAATGCTGGCAATTATTGAGGCTTCCATAATAAGCAAAATATAAACCTCACTAAGCCATAACCCATTCAACTATGCAGGATGCAGGGTTACGTTTTCTGAAGTAAAGAGTAGACCGCAATCAAGGGCGATTGGGATCGCTGGGTTTAGCAGAATCTGGAGGTGCCGAAACCCCTAAACCCCTGAACCCCCTTGCCTATCCGTTCCGACTCCCTCTAATTCGTACTAGAGGGAGTCGGATAGGTTTGAAGGTTTGCGGTTGAGTTAGGGTTTAGGATTTGGGTTTCCTTAGGAAAATTGGATTGGGATTTCCGGACCTAAAACCCGAAACCCTAAACCCTGAACCCTTCCGCTGAAGGACTAAGTCTAGGGCACATCCTCTGGCTCTCAGCCACTCAGCTTGGCTTCTTTGTCGTACGGCGGTTGATGATATAAATCCTGCACTACCCACAACAAGGAATAGATAGGGTTTAGGGTTTAGGGTTACCCATAAGAAGGAATATACCATAATTCCCATAGTTTCGGGTCCTTAAGGTAATGCAGGATTTAGATCATCAACAGTAGCTCCCTTCAACACACATGAGTGCTAGAGCCCGGAAGCCAGACGCGTTTAAAGATTCGGATGGCAGGGTCGCTAAGCCCCCACACCCCTCAAAAACACCTCCAAACCCTAAAAGCCCCACAAACACCTGCCTAGTAGAAGCCAGAAAGTTGGAACATGATGATCCTCATGCCCTGTAGGTAAAGTAAAAGGGCTCCTACTAATCCTCCGAAACCCATGTTCCAACTTTCTGGCTTCTACTTTCCATCATCCTGAATACCATGACCTTTTCGTACCCCATCCCACCCCCCAGCCCGACCACCCCGAAACCAACATCCTGAAGCAAAATCCCAAAACCAAAATCCTGAACCAAAAACCCCAAACCCTAA